CTCCATGCAGATATCTCTCACCGCTGTACCTACTGAGCGGCCACACTCATCCTACTCTTTCTCTCCTCATCCCTCAACCCCCATTCCATGTAGATATCTCTCCAGGACCTACCTAACACAATCATGCTGCCTTTCTCTCCCAGCCTCCCTCAATCCCTCTCCTGATGTAGGATATCTCTCACACTGTACCTACTGAGCTGCCACACTCATCCGCTCTTTTCTCCCTGCTCCCTCAATCCCTCTCTCCATGCAGATTTGCCTCTCACCAGCTGTACCTACATCGGCCACACTCATTTCTGGTTTCAGGGAGCCTCGCTCCCTCAATCCCCCCTCTCCATGTAGATATCTCTCACCGCTGTACCTACTGAGACATGACATCCATGACTCTTTCTCTCCCTCGCTCCCTCAATCCCCCCTCTCCATGTAGAATCTCTCTCCCGCTGTACCTACTGAGCGGCTACACTCATCCGCACTCTTTCTCTGCTCCTCAATCCCCCTCTCCATGCAGATATCTCTCACCCGCTGTACCTACTGGCTACACTCATCCGCTACTCTTTCTCTCCTCGCGCTCCCTCAATCCCCTCTCCATGCAGATATCTCTCACCCGCTGTACCTACTGAGCGGCTACACTCATCCGCTACTCTTTCTCTCCTCAATCCCCCCTCTCCATGTAGATCTCTCACCCGCTGTACCTACTGAGCGCTACACTCATCCGCCCTTTCTCTCCCATGCTCCCTCAATCCCCTCTCCATGCAGATATCTCTCACCGCTGTACCTACTGAGCGGCTACACTCATCCGCTACTCTCTCTATCCCTCGCTCCCTCAATCCCTCTCCATGCAGATATCTCTCACCCGCTGTACCTACTGCTACACTCATCCGCTATCTCTCTCCCCGCTCCCTCAATCCCCCTCTCCATGCAGATATCCTCACCCGCTACCTACTGGCGGCTACACTCATCCGCTACTCTTTCTCTCCCTCGCTCCCTCAATCCCCTCTCCCAGATATCTCTCTGTCCATGTCAGCTCCCTCAATCCCCCCCTCTCCATGCAGATATCTCTCACCCTGTACCTACTGAGCGGCTACACTCATCCGCTACTCTTTCTCTCCCTCGCCTCCCTCAATCCCCTCTCCATGTAGATATCTCTCACCACTGTACCTACTGAGCGGCTACACTCATCCGCTACTCTTTCTCTCCCGCTCCCTCAATCCCCCTCTCCATGTAGATATCTCTCACCCGCTGTACCTACTGAGCGGCTACACTCATCCGCTACTCTTTCTCTCCCTCGCTCCCTCAATCCCCCTCTCCATGTAGATATCTCTCACCCGCTGTACCTACTGAGCGGCTACACTCATCCGCTACTCTTTCTCTCCCTCGCTCCCTCAATCCCCCTCTCCATGCAGATATCTCTCACCCGCTGTACCTACTAAGCTGGCTACACTCATCCGCTTCTCTTTCTCTCCCTCGCTCCCTCAATCCCCCTCTCCATGCAGATATCTCTCACCGCTGTACCTACTGAGCGGCTACACTCATCCGCTACTCTTTCTCTCCCTCGCTCCCTCAATCCCCCTCTCCATGCAGATATCTCTCACCCGCTGTACCTACTGAGCGGCTACACTCATCCGCTACTCTTTCTCTCCCTCGCTCCCTCAATCCCCCTCTCCATGCAGATATCTCTCACCCGCTGTACCTACTGAGCGGCTACACTCATCCGCTACTCTTTCTCTCCCTCGCTCCCTCAATCCCCCTCTCCATGCAGATATCTCTCACCCGCTGTACCTACTGAGCGGCTACACTCATCCGCTACTCTCTCTCTCCCTCGCTCCCTCAATCCCCCTCTCCATGCAGATATCTCTCACCCGCTGTACCTACTGGCGGCTACATTCATTACTCTTTCTCTCCCTCGCTCCCTCAATCCCCCCTCTCCATGTAGATATCTCTCACCGCTGTACCTACTGAGCGGCTACACTCATCTCTTTCTCTCCCTCGCTCCTCAATCCCCCCCTCTCCATGCAGATATCTCTCACCCGCTGTACCTACTGAGCGGCTACACTCATCCGCTACTCTTTCTCTCCCTCGCTCCCTCAATCCCCCCTCCATGCAGATATCTCTCACCCGCTGTACCTACTGAGCGGCTACACTCATCCGCTACTCTTTCTCTCCCTCGCTCCCTCAATCCCCCTCTCCATGCAGATATCTCTCACCCGCTGTAGTTCGGCCAGCGATCGGCTCATTAGCTGCACCAGCCTGTTGAATCTCTCCAGCTCCTGCAGCAGCACCACGGTGGTGGGCTCGATTTCGGGGCCCTTGTCTTTGCGGATCTTTTCCAGGTCGAACACAGCTGGCAGCCTGCTCTGGATGTCCTGCGCCACCTGGCTGATGTCCTTGTCCCGACTGGTCCCCCCTCCAGACTCCCCTGGCGGAGACAGAGCACCGTGGGGTCAGAGACCAAGGCAGAGAATGTGACCCAGAAAGGACACAATGGAAACTGGCCCTGAGCTGTGATCATCCACTTTAGTTGTCTTACGTGTTTTTCCAGGGCTTCTAGTGTTGCAGAGCTCAGCAGCGCATCTGCTCATTTTACAAATGTTCCAGACTGTTGATTTGACCTCCGCTAAAGTCTGTGTTCTCGTTCTGATTGGATAGTTTGTTTTTATAACTTAAAGATGGCCTCTTTCACCTGCATCAACGCCTCTTTTGCCCACATTGTGAGTTCCCATGATCAGCTGCCAAATGCAAATTCATCTCTAGGAATGAACTCCATTCCTTTTATTCGCTTGATTTGTTTTGAGAGAATGAGGGAACAGACCACATCTGGCAATGAAAGTGATTATCAGTTAATTGTTTAATCTTTGTTGAGCCTCTGAAAATGGAGAATGACAAAAATGGCAGAAATTCCAACAATTGCTGCAAGATAGTTGTGAAACCCCTTAAATTAAAGTTGGAAGTCTGCACTTCAATAACACTCTGATCAATTTGTTTCAACTCTGCACAGATGCAAAGTTGAGTCACTGTCCAAATTCTTCTGAACTGACCTGTAAGGGTAAAGATGTAAATATATATCGCAATTTGTAAGAATCACTGTTTTTCCTGCAGCTCCTGAAGGTGAGTTTATAGTTCAATATCCTAAGATATTTTTTGGTCATATAAATTTAACCCACAGAAAATTGAAAAACAACGGGCTGGCCTTAACCCCCCAAAGGGGCTACTTATGTCAAGAATACATTTGGAAAATCCGCAAAACCAAATTTCAGTATAACCGGGGAAATTACAAATGGACAGCAAAAATGCCCCGCTTTACCCAACCCCAACAGCAAGTAACTCATCGACCAACTCCATTATTGCACCCCTAACAAAGCCTTCAAAGATAATTTGGGAAGCTAAAAGGGTGTATTCAACTCAATATAAGGGAAAAAAACCCTTAACCGGGAAAATATTTTCTTAAAACTGCCATTTGCACTCAATTTGAAATGATTTCTTTATTTTTTAAAAAGGATAAAAATGTTCTTTTTTTTTGGGTGGCTGCAGGCCTTCCTTTACTAAAAAAAAAAAAAAAAAAGGAGGTTTTTGCCTCAAATTTGGTACAAAAAATTTAGTCCCCAATTTTTTTTAGGCATTTTTTCATTTACATACCACAAGAGGCCCCTTTTCCAGACAAAATTTTAAAATAAAAGTTTTTCCACCCAACTTTTTTTGCAAAATTGCGGGTGTTCCTAAAGTTTTTTAAGTTTTTTTGGGTCCCAACCCAACAAAAGGTAAATTCAAGGAAAAACCCTTTACCCCTTTCGATAGCCGTGGTGCGGACGGGGCCA